TCTATAAGTGTTCTAAGTGTGAACAATAACAACTTACTTTTTAAAAAATATTTTATTTATTTATTTGACAGAGAGAGACATAGCGAGAGCAGGAACACAAGCAGGGGGAGTGGGAGAGGGAGAAGCAGGCTCCCGCGGAGCAGGGAGCCCGATGCGGGGCTCGATCCCAGGACTCTGGGATCATGACCTGAGCTGAAGGCAGACGCTTAACGACTGAGCCACCCAGGTGTCCCAATAACAACTTACTTTTAGAGGTATATAAAAATTTTGTTCCTTTATAGCTTCATTCTCTCCCCACTCCTTCACTGTTATTTTCATAAAAATTACATCTTTATACATTGTATGCCTATAAACACAGATTTATAGTTATTGTTTTATACAGTTGTCTTTTAAATTAATAGGTGAAGGGGCACCTGGGTGGCTCAGTCAGTTAAGCATCTGACTCTTCTTTTCAGCTCAGGTTGTGATCTCAGGGTTGTGAGATAGAGCCCTGTGTCAGGCTCAGTGGGGAGTGTTCTTGGGATTCTCTCTTTCCCTCTCCCTCTGCCCCTGCCTCCCCACCCCACTCTCTCTCAAATAAATAAATAAATAAATCTTTAAGAAAAACCAAATAAGAGAAAATGAGTTACAAACAAAAAAATACATTTATACTGTCTGTCATATTTACAATGCAGTTATCTTTACGAGTGCTTTTTATTTCTCCATATGAATTCAAGTTATTGTCTGGAGGACTTTCACCTAAGCCTGAAGGAAGGAATATGTTTTGTAGGTCAGGTTTACTAGTGACAAATTCAGTTTTTATCTGGGGATGTCCTAATTTCTTTAAGGATAGTTTTGCTGGACATAGAATTCTTGTGATGTCTTTCTCTCAGTACTCTGTGTATATCATCCCTGAATATGGCATCCCTCACTGCCTTCTGGCCTCCATGGTCATGGATGAGAAATCAGCTGATAATCTTATCAAGACTCTCTTGCTGCCTTCAAGATTGTTTCTTTGTCTTTAGAGTTTAGCAGTTTGATTATGATCTAAGTGTTAATCTTTTTCAGCCTATTCTACTTGGACGATTTTTGTTCTTTCTTTCTTTTTAGCTTCTTGGATGTGTAGATTATGTTTTTCATGAAATTTGGAAAGTTTTCCGTAATTATTTCTTCAAATATTTTTCCTATCCCTTTCTGTCCTCGTCTTCAGGACCTGTCATTATGCATATCTTGATATGCTTGATGGTGTCCCACAGGTCTCTGGGAGCTCTGTTAATCTTTCTTCATTCTTTTTTTTTTCTTTTCCTCAGACTGTATAACCTCAGTTGACCTATATTAAAATCCATCGCCTCTTTCTTCTGCCAACTTAAATATGCTGTTGAATTCCTGTGGTGAATTTTTACATTTCAGTTACTACATTTTTTAACTTCAGAGAACCTGGTTCTTTTTTATAATTCCTATCTATTTGGTGAGACATCCTTTTCATACTTGCCTTTAGTTCTTTAGACATGGTTTTCTTTAGTTCTTTGAACATATTTAAAATAGCTGATTTGAAGTCTTTGTCTAGTAAGTCCAGCATCTGAGCTTCTTCAGAGATTGTTTCTACTGACTGCATTTTTCCACTGAAAAAAAGGCCATATAGACCGTGTATTCTCGTTTCTTTGTATGTTTCATATTTTTTATTAAAAATTGTATATTTAAAAAATATAATGTGGTAACACTGGAAATCATTCTATCCTCTCCCAGCATGTGTTGTTGCTGTTGATTTGTTTAGTGGCTTTTCTGAACTAAGCCTGCAGTTTAATTCTGTATACTTTGTCATGTGTGGCCACTGAATTCTCTGCTCATTTAGCTTAGTGGTTAGTTAGTGATTCAACAGAAATTTCATTAAATGTGTAGGACATTGCTGAGGAGCTCTGTGTATTTGGGGGCACACCTTCAACATTTAGATAGGTAATTTCCAAATCTTTTTTTTTTAGAGGGGGACAGAGGGAGAGGGAGAGAGAGAACTTAAACAGGCTCCATGCCCAGCACAGAACCTGACATGGGGCTTGATCTCACAACTCTGAGATCATGACCTGAGCTGAAATAGAGTCGGACACTTAACTGACTCAGCCACCCATGCACCCTGGCAGTTTCCAACTCTTAGCCTTCACTTCCTGCTTGTGCAGAGCCTCAAGGTCAGCCAGAGGTGAGAATTTAGGTCCCTTCTCAGGTCTTTTTTTGAACATGCTCATGACCCTGGCCATGCATGAATCCTCCTAGATTCCCAGGAATATGTGAAAGCTTTTCAAAGCTCCCTATAGATATCTTAGTCCCCACCTTTTTCTTTTGGTTAGCCTGTTGTTTGGCCCAACTCTTATTTGCCACTCTAGGCAGCTGTAATGTTTACAACTAATGATTCTGGGGAAAGACTCTTCATAGTGGGTAAGTTCCAAGTCAATCCAAGTAAAGACAGCTTTGTGAGTGGGGTCTTCTAAGAATGAGCAGATAGACCAAATAATGCCAGTTCTCTGAGAACAGAGCTTTGAAGGAGCTCCAACCCCATTCTGCCCCATCCAGTGGTTGCCACACTGCTGCTTTCCACTGTGCTTGAGGGCCACTGGTTATCAAGTCTACTTTTGGGTTGCAGAGGAGAAATGGAGATAGAGCAAGTTAAAATGTCACAAAGCTTGCTGGTCTTACTGAGATTGAGCCTTTCTTCTTGAATAGACTCTTCTCAGATTGCCATAAACCTTTGATTAATTTTCAGAGTTCTGAAAAAGTTAATTCTGACAATTTTTGCAAGTGTTCTCACTGCTTTTACGGGGATTTTCAGAGGTCCATTCTCTGCCACTTTTGCTAATGTCCTCCCACAGATTCTTTCAATGGAATTTATCCTTTCCTTGGCATAAACATTTTCTAAACATTGACCACCTAAGGCCTCAAATAGTTTAGATTTATTCTAAAATGTCGGGAAATGAGTTTTCTGAGACAAATGTTTGTTCTTATAAATAAATATCAAGGAAACAAGGCAATTAAAGGATGTACAGACAGATAAGTCACAGGAAAAAAAGAGAAATTGTTCATGGCTGTCTACAACTTTCACCATTTTTTATGTCTTTTTGCTTTTTGTTTTAACATGGGCCTGGTTAACTTGAAAATACCTGGTTAAGTTTCAACCGTGTGTCAGTTCCCCATCTTCTCCCTGGGCCTGGGTAAGCTTGGAACAGAAGGAGACTGAGGTAGTCTTCAGCAGCCCCTTCACTTTGGCCATCTTTGTTGTATTAGGTCAGGCTGCCATAACAAAATGCCACAGACTGGGTGGCTTAAATAACAGAAATTTATTTTCTCACAGTTCTGGAAGTTTGAAGTTCAAGATCAATGTGCCTCAGGTTTCTCCTGAGGTCTCTCTTTGGCCTGCAGATGGCTTCTTGTTGTGTCCTCTTATGGCTTTTCCTCTTTTCACACATGCTCCTGTTGCATCTTCTTCTTCTTATAAGGACACCAGCCCTATTGGATTAGGGCCCCATACTTGTGACCCCATTTAATCTTAATTATCTCCTCAAGGCCCTGTCTCCAAATACAGTCACACTGTATTTGTGACACCCAGTCACACTGGGTCTTAGGGTTTCAATATGAATGGTTGAGGGGAGGATGCAATTCAGTTTATAACAAGTGTCTAACTCACAATAAGTAGGTTCTCCATAGATATTTCTATTGATGACATGCATCCTCTTTTGTCCCTGTCCTTTAGGCTTGTGTGCCATCCTTTACTCCTCTGTAACACCTCAAACTAGGCGCAGTGGCTTCTGGTCTATTGGGAGAGCAGCACTGTGTGGAGCTTGCAGAGAAATCTCAATGTCAGAGTTCAAGTCCCCACTCTGGTACCAACTAGTTGTGTGACCTTGAGCAAGTCTATTAACTCACTGATTTTCTCTAGATTTTGTATTCTTTCACTTCTCTCTATCCTCTAGGCCCTGGATTTGTCACTGACCCCTACTACTAAAACATCCTTACTTCAGCTCTATGTGGCACATCTGGGGGTTCACTAGTAAAATATATCCTCGTTAATGTACCGACTAAAGAGTTCTGAGTGGTCTCCATCTCTGACTATGTAATAAATGTATTTCCAGAGATGCTGTCCCCACTATTGCTGCTCAGACAAGAGTGGTATTAGCATTGTTGGGCAATGTAGTTCAGGAAGGAAAGGAAGATGCAGTGTAGGACAGGCCTAGTGGGGAGGTAATGAGGGGTAAACCAGAAGCTGAGAGTCCCCTCACATGTATTTACTTAACCAACTTTCACCAAGAATCTGCTTTGTTCTGAGCATTGTGCAAAGTGATGAGCCAGAGCTCTTATCAGAAACTTCTCTGACCAACGCACTGGAGTTGGCATGCACTGCAGTGTTGTAGGAGGAAAAATGGCCTGAATTTAAGTCTTGGGTTTGTTGTTTATTTCCCTCTGACCATAGACAAGCTACTTAGCTTCTCAGAGTCTTAGTTATTCCATTTTTAAAAGAAAGGACAGATCAGGTGCTCTATATGGTTAGTTCTACCACTTTGTCTCTCATCTTCTAGAATTCTCCACAGAGAGTGGAGTATGGATTCTGCCTAAGGAAGAATTTGTATTTTTAATGCTGATTTCAGCACAAGGCTACTCCAGTTGGGAAGATGGGAGGAGAGAGATACATACTTGGGGTAAATGTTTGGGGGAAAAACTTGGAAATGAGCCTTTAAAGGAACCAAATATTTGCATTCTTACGCTGTCTTTTGATGATGCTATTGATGAATTCCTCATACGCTAAGAAAGAACTCACTTTAGCAGGTTAGACAAAGAGGGGTCCACTGTGGGTTATTAATCCTAAAGAGATTCGTAGTAAATGCAGAGTCAAGATGCAGAACCTTCGTTTGCCTGGTGTCACAGATGCATTAGTCCCATGTTACTGTGTTTTGATGCAGGAGCCACATTTTGTTAACTTCTCTATTCCTAGTACCACACAGCACAGAATAGACATTCAGTGGACATCATAGTCCTCATTCCCCAAATGGAATTTTCTTCATGTTACCTGCTGAAAAAGAGAGACAAAATCAAGACGCAATTTTCATACTGACTTTGTCCCTTAAATTGTTAGAGAACTAGATCTCATTATTTTCAACAAATTCAGTGGAAATTGTCCTCACCTTTGGAGTTAACAATTTAAGCCTTTGGTTCCCCAGAGCATGATGTTCAGGCTAACTGCCTTGGCATCAGCCTTCATGGACAACTTGTACATGGTGGCAGCAGATAACAAGAGGATGAAGGCTCAGGCTGTAGCCAGAGCTGGATTCAAGTTCTGCCTCTGTCATTCACAATCTTGTAACTTTGGCGAGGTGTTCACCTCTTGACGTCCGGTTTTCTCATCTGTAAAATGGGGATGATACTGTTACCTGCCCTACAGAGTCATTGTGAAGGTCAGGGTTTTTTTTTTTTTTAAAGATTTTATTTATTTATTTGACAGAGAGAGACACAGCGAGAGAGGGAACACAAGCAGGGGGAGCGGGAGAGGGAGAAACAGGCTTCCTGCCAAGCAGGGAACCCAATGTGGGGCTCGATCCCAGGACCCTGGGATCATGACCTGAGCTGAAGGCAGATGCTTAATGACTGAGACACCCAGGTGCCCTGAAGATCAGTTTTTAAAATGCATGAAAGTACACAGTGGCGGGCACAAAAGTTAAAAGCACAGAAAATGTTAGCTTGAAGAACTTATAGTCATGGGCAGGAATAACCTTCTGTTTCTTTTAGTTTTTCAAGATCCACACACCCTATTATAACAATAATAATTATTATATTTTTATAATTATTTATAATGTTATGATTATTTTTATAATTATTTTAAATATTATTGTCATATTTATATACTTTAAGCCTTTGTACTTTAACATAATCAGGAGTCTTGGATGCTTGTGAACCATGGGTACTTGAGCAACCCAAGAAGTCATTAATTTGTCTTTTAGATGTCCTTTTACAAAGTCCCATAAACCAGCATCTGTCATCATTGGAGGGCTCACAAAGTTTGGAAAAAAAAACAAGTCAAAAGATGGATGCAGTCAAAGAAGTTCAGGAAAAAAAAAAGATCACTGAAAGTCATAATTCATTTAAAAAATATTTGCTCTCATCTCATACATGTGTATTTATAAACAGTAGCACATTCTTTATGAAATAATGCTTAAAATCCTTGAGGATTTGCATGTAATTTCTTCAAAGCCTTCCCAAGAAATAAACATAAATAAGTTCTCGCTGCTGATATATTTTAAAAGTCTTTCCAAGCCAGTGAATCTAAACACTTCACTTCCTCCTATTTTCCCAGGCTTCCTTCTTCAGATGAGGACTCTTGTTATCTTTAGATCCAAAAGCCACTTTGAATTTATGCACTGATGATCAGAGAGTCAAATTTTAAGAGTCTCCTCTCTTAAGTATTTAGGTATACAGTTGTCTCCCTTCGCCACAGGGCATATGTCCCAGGACTCCCAGCGGATGCCTTGAAAGCACATTGATGGTGCTGAACCCCATATATCCTGTGCTTCTTCCTATACGTACACACCTCTGCTCTGGTTTAATTTATAAATTAGGCACAGTAAGAGATTCACAGTGATAAATAATAATAAAATAGAACAATTGTAATAATTGTAATAAAATAATAAATTGTAAATTTATTATTTGTAATGATAAATTTGTAATTTTATTGTAAATAAATAAAATAATAATTGTAATAAAATAACTGTAATAAAAGTTATGTGAATGTGGGCTCTCTCTCGCTCTCTCAAAATACCTTATTGTGTCGCCTTCGCCTTCTGCTTGAGGTGCTGTGAGATGGTAAGATGGCTATGCGAGGAGATGAGGCGAGGCGGCTGATGTGGGTGCTGTGCTGCCATGTTAGGTTGCTGCGGCCCTTCTGATGCATCGGGGGATCATCTAGCTCCAGACCGGGAGTACCTGAAACCGCAGATGAGGGGAAACTAGTGTATTATTTGCACCCGGATAAAGGGAAACTGTCTGAAAATACGCTAGCTTTGCCTCAAATTACTGGAAACTGAGTGAGCAGTTAGTATTTTAGAATCCCCAAAGAGATCTGAAGCAGAGTAGCTGTGATCTTGGGGAAGGGAGAACAATCTGAGCTACATGCTGGAGAAAGCTTTTGGTCAGAACTCTATTAAAAACAGGAAAGTCAATGTGCTAGGGCTTGATTTAAGCCTCATTGGATCAAATACACAGCTCATGATCTCGTTTTTTCTTGAGAACTTCGGGCGTAAGAAATGGCCCGATATATCCATACTTGCTGAGATGCCAGAGACTAAAGTCACAATAACCTGGGGTTGACGCAGGTGTCCTAGCTGCTCTGAGATATTTGGGGAGGACTTTTGCCATGACCAGAGGCGTCTCTGAAGTTGACATACACGCACACCTTCCTGTGTCCACTCCCTGCACACCCCAGGCTCTCCCTCATTTTCTGGGACTCCAAATCTCACCCTGCTTGTGACAGTTGCACTCACAATTTTTCCTGAGCCAGGGGACGGGGGTAAGTGAAAGCAGCACAGAACAGAGCCAGAGGTCTCAGCAAATGAAATGGCTCCCTATTTTCTTTCCCTGTGCTGCCACAAAATCCCCTGAGTGTCTCACTCAAACACGGGGTTATCTTTTACAAACTTCCCAAGCCAGACAATAATAACCTTTGGGTCACAGCGTATGGACCAAACGCCCATCAGTAAGAGAATGAATAATCTGAGCCACATTCAACGCAGTGGAAGGCATCGCAACGGTGGGAAGGAGCCGCCTGCTGCGAATACCACCATGTGGGTGACTCTCATAAACATGGCGTCAAGTGACAGGAACCAGGCACTACAGGGTGGACGCTGTTCACTTTCTTTTGTATAAAGCACAGAAACAGGCAAACTAATCAGGTAGTCTCCCTCTGGGGAAGGAGGTCTAAGAGGGTGTTCTGTGGGTGGGGGGCGGTGCTGGTGATACTCTGTTTTTTTTGTTGTTGTTGCAGTTCTGAGTGCTGGTCACCTTGCTGTGTTCTTTGTGAAAATTCATTAACCTGTACGCTAATAATATGTACCCTTTCTGTATATTTCATTTCATTAAAAAGCTTTTTAAAAATGATTAACGGAAAGCAAGTGAGTCTCCGTTCCTTGGCCAAAATCTTTTCTGATTTCAGTCTGACATCCCTCACCTCATCTCCAGCCCTTTCTGCACGGACAACTCTGTCTGGAGAAAGCCCTTCCAGACTTTTCAAAACCTTCCCTGAGGGCATCCCTGGTAAACACCATCAGGGGTCTGTGATTGTTGGAGACCTAACGGTTTGCAGATTTCTGTATCGGGGATTTTGGACATTGTTGACAGGCAAGGAATGATGAACTTTTGAAGTTACCTCTGCGGGAGTCGTGTGAGCTATCAACTAAACGATATCTTTAGTTCTCAAAGATTTTAGGAAGATACTGATTATTTTATGGTGCAATCACCAGATTGCACTGGTGATTATCAGCTAGTGTGGCTTTTGTGTACCTTACTCAGCAATGTGTGGTTTCGTAGAGTCGCTTAATTTTACAGGGCAACTGGAGTAGCTCAGATGCGAGAATGCGGGGACACAGGTCACAAAAAGGCCTTTTGAGCATTGAAAGCCTAGGGGTTCTTTAAATGTTCTATTTGTTCTTTGTTTGTATACTGATTGGTTGATGATCAGTGTTGTCCCATGATTTTTAATAAGCAAGAAAGAAAAGCAAATAAATTCATTGATTCGCTTTGATATTTGTTCAACAAAAGAACAATATTGATGCAAAAAGTTGTTTTCTGCCAGTCATGATGTGGGAATCTGGACATATCTTGAGTTCATCAGAAGGAATATCTTGAGGCAGTTTTAAAAACCTTGAGTCTTGAAAAAATGTGAAAAGGAAGTTAGCTTGTATATTTTTTTCTGGATTAAAAATTATGTTTAAAGAGGGCCGCTTGGGAGGCTCGGTTGGTTAAACATCCAACTCTTGATTTTGGCTCAGGTTGTGATCTCAGGGTTGTGGGACTGAGCCCGCCGTCAAGTTCCATGCATGAAGCCTGCTTAAGATTCTCTTTCCTTCTCCCACTGCTCTTCCCCCTGCTCTCCCCACTCACATGTGCTCTTTCTCTCTCTCTCAAAAAAAAAATTATGTTTAGAGAAAAAAAATGAATCCCTCTGTTTTATTTACTAATGTTGAAAGTTACTGAAATATAATTTGAGACACTTATATACATCCAAGACACTTAGCAAAGCTTTAAAGAATGCCTTTTCAAAATCCCTGTAAAAAAGAAACTGTATTTTGACAAGAGTATCATCTTAAATTCTTAAACAGATGCCTGTGGTACAAATTCTTCATATGGCAGGTCTCATGCTCCAAAGTATAGGAGATCAGAAGCTGCTTGATGCAAGTTTTTTCTCTCTAGCCCCGTTTAATGATGGGTTAGCGGCCCAATCAAGTAATCCTTTCTTCTATATTTTAATAAAACGGTTATCAGCTTTGCCTTTGGCTTCAGCTTCTGTGATGTGTTATTAATACCGTGTGTGGAGTTGGCAGAATACAGTGCATTGCGCTGGACCTTAAATCTGGATTCAAATTCTAATTCTGCTCCGTGTTAGATATGAGACGTTGGGGCTCAGAGCATGCCACCCCCAAATACAATACCTTTTGGTACCAGATACAACAACCCTATACCAGGGCATCTTGAAGAGTTTAAGCTGAAGGAGTTTGAGAAAATGGTAGAAGTGAGGAGGTCTCTGTGACTTTCTCCTGCCTTTCTCCTCTGGAGGAGCACCTCTGTGAGAGATGCCGTCCCTACACCCAGAGGAAAGGAACACCCTTATCTTCACTATGGAGGGACACCAAGAAAAATCCAGACAAACAGGCCATGCTAAGTTTCACCCAGTCTGCTACACTTACCCTGTCATCGTATTTCTCCACAACTGTCCGCTCTTCATCAAACCTAGCATAAAAATCTCTCAGCTTGAACAGTTTCTTCGGTTCTCAGTGCCTTAACGAAGGCCCCCACGTCACGTCAAACTTACGTTAAATAAAGTTGTATGCTTTTCTCCTGTGAATCTGACTTTGCCAGTTTAATTTTCAGACCCAGCCAGAGAAAACATATTTTACCTCCCCTCTAGTCTCTCTGAGCTTCAATTTCCAAATCTGCCAAACAGGGTTAATAATTCCTGCTCTGGAGAAATCACAGGGCTGTTGTATCTCTTGCCCGAATGTAGTTATGACTGGTTTGAAAATTATTTTTTTGAAAATTGGGTTTGCAAGTTGTTACTGGTTATTTAAAATAACAGAAACAGTAAAATAAGCAAACTCCTCAAGGAAAGGCCCTTAAATTTCAGGAGGAGTTGGTTTTTCAAGGCAGTGAACTTTCTGGCTGTCCAGCTCCCTCAGGCAGAAGCAAGCTCCTCTCTCAAGCCAGCTTGAGTCTCATGCAAGACAGTCACTGTGGTATCAGAAATTCTCAGTCCCCCAACAGTGATGGTCCGTTACAATTTACTCATCTCTCTCTTTTGCTAAGAAGCATGCTATACTGTGATTTATAATAAGAAGTATATATTTGGGTCTTCATCTGCACTTTCTGGCTCACGGCTCCCAAATCTCTTGTCTTTGCCTAACTGATTAGAGCAATAGAGGCATCTTCTGTTAAAATATTTGGCTTTTGTCCTCAGTTCTTGTAAATAGCTTCAGAGTGATAAATGTGAAATACATCTCTTCTGTTATTTGTAATAAACCCCAGTTAACCACTTCTGAGTTTATGTTAATGGCGTGACTCTTGGAAAACCCCTAGGTCACCGCTGGATGAGGACTGGTTGCCAGGAAGATCAATCATGATTAGAGGGCTGGAACTTTCAAGTGGGAAGGAGAGAGAGGCTGGAGGTTGAGTTAATCACTGATAATGATTTAATCCACCATGCCTATGGAATGAAGCCTACATAAAAACCCCAGGGGACAGGGTTTGGAGAGCTTCCAGGTTGTTGAACATCCGGAGGTGCCCTTTCCCACATAACTTTGTCCTGTGTGTCTCTTCCATCTGGCTTTCCTAAGTTCTATCCTTGTACAATAAATTGGCAAAATAGTAAGTAAAATGTTTTCCTGAGTTCTGGGAGCTTTTTAGCAAATGACTGAGCCCAAGGAGAGGACTGTGGGAAGCTCTGATTTACAGCCAGTTTGTCAGAAGCATGGTGTGAGATAATAGGAAAAAATATAGATTGGTCTCTGCCATGAGTTCCTGGTAGAGAGCCCCTAAAACTCTTGTAATTTCCTCCTAAGTGATAAGAGCTCTAGGAGCACCTTTTGTTCTAATATTTGGTCTTTGACCCAGTTCCTGACTGACCTAGAGCTCCTAAATTCCATGGAGTTCCCTCAGTAATAGGAGTGTCTTTCATTCTTAGGAGGTGACTCTGAGTGGGCTCCCTGGTGGGGGCCGATCGCTGGAAGGACCACACCATGATTGGAACTTGGGATTTTCAGCCCCACATCCCACCTCCACTCCATTCTCCAGCCCATCCCAGGCCATTTTCTATGACTGGAGGCCTCCCCAAGGCTCTCCTCCAGCCATAGAAAATGGCCTGAGAAGAGAGAGGGGCTGGAAATAGAGTTAGTGACTGATCATGCCTACATGATGAAGCCCCTATAAACATCCCCAAAGTACAGGGTTTGGAGGGCTTCTGGGTTGGTGAAGAGGTGAGGCGTTAGGGGAGTGGTAAGCTCGGAGAAGGCATGGAAGCTCCTCACTGCTTCCCCCGTACCTTGCCCTACCCATCTCTTTCATCTGGGTGTTCATCCGTATCCTTTATCCTATCTTTTTATAATAAACCATTAGATTGTAACTAA